CCGTGTGTGTGATGTGTAAGGTTATTATTATTATTTATACGTTTGTGTGAACAGGATTCACGCTTTAACAGTTAATAGTAAGCAATTTGTACATCCCGGCAACTGTTAGTGTAATAAACTTCTGAAATTCACAAATAATGAGAAGTTTCGGCAATGACTGTGAAATCACAATCAATAATCATTAGCGTGTCGTAAATACGCCTTGTAATCGTAAATGGCTAGTTTCTTTGCTACAATATTTGCTGCGCGGTTGACGCAATCCGCAAAGACTACGGAGTGTCACTCCTGCTTATCCCGTAGGTGTCGTAAGAGGCGACTAAGGAGACAACTACGCAGGACAACAGTGCTGCAGAGAGAAGGAAAACTTGAAACAAACCCTGTACCAACCCGTCTGGCCAGCGTGGTATAGTAAGTAGGCCAAAGCATCCTTTCTAAGGAGAGGCCTATGTCCAGCGGTGGACTACTAAAGGCTGTTGAAACGCAATCATATTCTTTCATTTATTGATATGTACTGTATTCATTCTTAAATTCTATAGGAATAATATGGATTTTTTAGTTCTTTGACAGTTTACGTTTTAAAATATCTGTAAAAAATATGCAAACTACAATTCTTAAAATTTGTCAACAGATCTAACAAACGGCTAAAATCTTCATTTTGAGACTGTCATAATTTTTTTTATTATTTGAGACGAAACGTACTATGGTATCCAGACTGCTGATAAAAATATAATAAAAACACATTTATTAGCCTTTAATAGTCCACTGCTGGACATAAGCTTCTCCTTAGAAAGGAGAAAGAGGGTTTTAGGACTTTTCTACCCAAACGGAACAATTAATGATCACGTTCATCATCAACTGTTTTGAATCTGGGTGGGAATTAAACCCTCTACCTCTGACTAAGCAGTCAGGATCACCAACTGCTAAAATTTTAAATTGTATGTTTGTCATTTTAAATCTTTTTTTCTCTTGTTACAGGAAAAGGAAGACCAATATCCAGTAGCTCCATGGTTGCTCGCTCTCTTCATCTTCGTAGTTTGTGGTTCAGCAATATTCCAAATCATCCAGTCTATAAGACTGGCCTAGGTGTACCTTGTAATCCTCAACCCGACTGAACCATATTGTGGCTTGCACTGTTTCCTCTATACTTATTTAAAATATGTTAAGTATAAATTCATTTAATAAGACATCTCCTTATCGGTTGTGTTTGCCTGGTAGTATCATGTCATTTAAATAATATATATCGGTGTTGTAACCTAATTGTGTTTTATGTTTCAATTAATGAAGTGTGTTTATTAAAACTGTCTATTAAATATATTTCATTGAAACTTTGCCAGCCACTAAACCCTTAGAAAAATTACAATTTTATAAAACAATGTTCAGAGTAAAAGTTTTATATAAAAAGCTTCTTCTCTGTACAGAGACTGCGCTATCTATCCATGTAGCTTTCGAAGTTGCATTGTTTCGTGTTTAGTAATTTAAGCGCAGATAAAAACATATAATCTCATCGTGAAAAATAACATGATTGTACGTATATTCTTGTATATTATAAAAATATTGAATTTAATATTAAGATGAAGAGGAAAATCGGTAGCATTTAGAATTTATTGTTGAGAATTCATTCCTATACATTTTATTTGAGACCAAGTGTTGAAAGACGCACAATTAAGCGACTTTGTCCATCAAACTCGCGTTTTTTATTTTTATCGATTTTATTTGAATTGTAAGTAATGTAAAATAAATAAATTTGTTTTATATTATCCGCGCCACACTAACGAAATTAATTGTCGGTTCTATTTTTAATTTTAAATGTAATTTATTTGATTAAATACAGTATATTTGTCATATTGCTTGGATTTTCATTTTTAGAGTTCCTTTGTACCTTTATAACATTAATAAACTATGGTTTTAAAGGCTGCTTATATATTTGCACATCATATTGTTTTTCTTATATAACTACTAATGGCGAAAATATTGCTCACGATTTTCTGGGTTAAAGGTGCTTTTTTTTTAATCGTAGAAACTTTGTGGTAAAAAATATGAGTATGAGTCAGAAAAGTCGCAAAAAGACCGTTTGACTAGTTTCATCTCGTCGATCAGCATTCATTACCGCGAATGTGAAGTGTGTATGTGACTTTTTGTTGCCAACACAACAAAAATTGTAAATCTGTACTATAAAATAGGCGAACTAAAATACGAATTTTCGCATTCGCGGTCATGAATGCCGATTGATGATAAAAATGAAAATGCCATATGGAGAAGAAAATGGATATACATTCTCTTCTGTTTTTAGCTCAGAAGAGAATGCATATCTATACAAATAGACTTACAACCATATTGGCAGCTTTGGCTGTCTCTCCTCTCTTCTTTTCTTCTCTTACTAAATATTATTGTCCTAAACCATGCATCTGATTGAGTGGGTTACAGGTAACTAAAATATAATAACACAGAAGTATTCTATTAATTTGTATAATTTCGCAAAATCATTACAATTTTTCATTTTTTTCGTCCGGAGCACATTCGCATATTATAATACAAAGTTAAAACTATATATTACAATCACTTTTTACAAATTATGTCATGTATGTTGGTACTTTAAACCATAGCCTAGCCTAATTCACTTCTACCAGACAAGTATTTAAAAAGATGTCATATAAAACAATTTTTAATTTTGTTAATTTTAGAGATCCTCATGATCAAATTTCTATCATAATTCATAAAATTTAAATGTTTTATTTTATTGACCAGTATGATTTCAAATTTTGCCGATTATTTTTAATTTGGCAATAGTATATTGAGCAGGAGTCTGTCGAAATAAATTATTTTTAATGTTGGAAGTTCCAAGTAACAAGACTTTTTTCCGACACTTCAGTTTCCGCGCTCACATCTTTTTCATATTTCTTATATTAAGCAAACTTCTACCAAAAAGCGAAAGGAAATTCGTTCCGACCGGGGTCCATAGACCCCTCACGCCATTTTTTTAATAAACAATTTGCACTAGGTGCCTTATTGTTCATTTTTATTTGTAATCCTCAACATAAAGGCTGCCATTCTCATACTTTCTCTGGTAGAAGCGTGCGAATTGACATTCTAGTATAGTCTAATATTGAGCACCTGCATAGCACCAATTGTGATCGTACAAGATTATTTCTGTTTTAAAATTAATGTGATAGTTTTCTTAACACTAAATTCTTTTAAACATTATTTCATGAAAATGGGTTATATACCCATTTTGAATGTGTATAAATCAAATATTGTGTAGGAATACGGTTTCTATATTAAGAAATGTCATATAATGTGTAATATACTATGTAGTAATATAAGCATTGATCTATTATATAACACTCGATGAATATAAGGAATTTAATATTCATGTTTAAAGATTAGTGACGGCTCGTGTTTCTAGCTATAGTTTTACCAAACAATAATAGATGGCGTTGTACTAACTTTGAATATCAAACCCGTGAGTCACACAATTTTTAACACTAAGACAAGTATTCATATAAAAGTAAACATGACACATAAATACAACCGGGCAAGCAATATTTATGGTTTTTATACATTTCAAAGGGTTACCACCAAAATACCTGTTGTAGTACGATTAAATACAAAATATAGATTATCTGTTTTTAGAAGTACATAAATGAACAATGTAACATTTGAATATAAAAGAAACTATCACATAGAAACTGCAGACATAAAATTATAAGTACTTTATATTATTTAAGTGGATATTAGTAGGTGCCTTACATCTGTGTAGGTACATTAAATAGTGCTGTTTATTACTGGTACACTTCGTGTCAATTATAAGTACACCACATTTAAAATATAATTATAACTATTTTTACAACACATTATCACTCAAAGTTGTGTCAGGCATATTTCAATTATAATATTGTAAAGAGAGCATTTTTTTATAATACCATATTTCTATATTTACTAAAAAAAGATAATCGTATAAATGGGCCGCTTGCTTAAGACAGTGTTGCCCAACGTAAAAATACTAGGCGGCTGTGCAAATAGTACGTTGACATCGCACATCTATGTGTATACCTAAAAAAAGTGTAGATAAATTTACTGACGAACTTATCTTGATAATAATTCTGGCACAACTAATATTATTTATTAAGAAAGTTACACAAGCAAACAATTTTATGTAATAAAAGACAATAAAATGAATCCACTACGTGTGAGTTCACATCTAGTCGATCGTCGTCGTCGGCGTGGTCGCCGTCGACAGCAAGTTGATGAAATGATATTTATTTCTGTGAGTAAATGTTTTTTCATATATTTTTACAAGTCGGACTTTACAGCTAGATGGAGCCGGCTTTGCCTAAGACTCACTCTGGGAATAAACGCCGAATCAAACCACAGATGTGTCTTTTTTTTAGTCCATAAACAAAGTTAAAAAAACAGTGCGACTAAGTAGGCCTTTTGAAGAAAGGACTATAGTTTTGAGTCGGCCTTGTGAAATAAACTCGCACAATACCCCCTGGTTTTTACTAACTTTCGTGTGTGGCAATGGCTGTGGCCATAGAAGGATAATCCGCTTGTGAACACATCTATTGCAACATGGTCGAAATGTAAGGTAATTTAGAGGTAAAATAATGATTAATAGGTATAATCATGTTATTTACCGAAATATTTAGGTATACTATACTGTCTTTTATAACATAAAATATTATAAAATTGTTTTCTGTTTAACGGAATGTAAACAATTGTAGACGTAAGTCATCCACTTACGTCTACAATTAAGATTAAGAACAACTCCAAGAGCCACTTCATACCAGATGAAATGTGTAACAACAACATTATTATTGGTGACAATGCTAAATTTAACATTATAGCATTTATACACCGAAGTAATATTTTCTTAAAATCAACATCTCATAAAAAGTGATTTCAAAGAAGCGGGACTGTAGCGTATATTTTTATTGGTATATCAAAAATATGACTACAAGACACTATTTGTGGCCGCCAGTGTAACTATACTAAACTAAAAGCTATTTTAAAGTATCATAGATGGCTTCGTTGGGATATGTACCATTCAATTGTATGCTGTTACTAAAACTTAACGAATTCTCTTTACTTAAACAAATTTCAGTTTTTTCTATATTATTATCGTTTTCGATCGGAAATTCGTCAATATTGTTAGTTATTTCTAATCTGATGGCGTGGATTTTATTTTCTGTAGCATCCTTGTCGCCTATCCACGACTCTATTATCGAGACATCATTTCTACTTCCCATATCGTCTACTTCACTGGACGTAATGCTTGAGTTATCTAAATCGAAGTCTGTGGTCTTTTCGATGACGACCACTTCAATGTGTCTAAATGGGTTTTCCTGATTTTCTATCATTTGCCTCGCCCTTTCATCATTCCTACTTATAACTTCTTTTTTTACATTGCATATGACTGGATCGTTTGCGAGCACGTCGATGTTATTATCGTAGCTTCCTTCGTCGCAAGCCTTATTACCATTAGGAGTACAGATCTCCGCATAAATATTATCAGAGCTAGCATCTGATTCAACTTTTTCTTCTTCTTCAACATGAACAGCATCAGCCACTTGACCATAAGGTAAATCTTCGATAACTGGCAGCTTTCGTTTCTGTATCGATGAAATCGATCTTCGAATTTTAACTTGTCTTTGTGGTTCTTCCGAAATATCTATAGTTGTAATATCATCTTCTATTTCAGATTTTGGTGTAGGAGCTCTGGGTTTATCGATTTTCTTCCTGAAGTTCAAAACCTTTTCATTATCTGCTGATCTCTCTGTCTTGGTTGGCATACTGTTACTGTTGCTACCTTCCTTTTTATCGCTAGGTTTCTTAGGATGAAGTAAATTAGATGTGGATTTGCTTAATACCCTTTTTGTTTTCACATGAAATTCTGAGCAAAGTTTCTCTGTTATAAATGAATGCTGTTTATAATTTATTTCAAAATCGCTATCATTATATAAAGAACCGACACCAAACATATTAATTTCTTCACAGCTTTGAACCTGATTGTATGACTCTGATTTGACCATGGCTTTTTCAGGTATTAAGTCAGGTTGTATTCTTTGTCTTCGTTCAAGATTCGTAGATGACTTTGTAGCTGAAGATTTCTTGAGCATATTTTCATCCAAACTCTTTAGTTTCCTACCAGAACTTGTGTCACTCTCCATAGAACCGCAGTAGTTGATTTGGTCGACACTCAAGTTTTTACGACTGTGTTTCATATTAATGCCACTATCATCTTCTGCATAAGAGCTATCTGGCAACATTCCTGTCTGAACTGATACAGATTTTGTTAGCACAGGCTTTTTATGACTTGAACTGCACTGACTTGTGTCCATTTCCGATGAAGAAGTTGTCAGACTCTTATAAGAATGACAGTTTTCGGTCGTCCCGTCGTTCTTCCTTGCTCCGCCAAACCTATCTTCAATTAATTTGGCCATATCCTGGTATCGTTCTATAGAGCTATGCTTCTCTGCCTGAGGATCGAAAGGATCTTTGAAATCTCTTAGCTTTTCACTATTCTCAATCACAGTTATTTTTTCATCTGTTATTTTTTCCGTACTCTTTAAAAGTTTCAAATTCTTAAACCATTTGCTCTTTTTGTGTCCAGAATCTTCTCTGAAAACATGCATCTTATCACTCGAAAAATGTTCCTGTTCAATTTTTACCTCCGGTTTCTCTTCTTTACTTTCGTCATCACTGTATACATCGTAGTTCATGTGCTCGAGTTCGTTCTTACTTAAAAAAATAATAGATCCCTCTGTTTCGTCAGGTATATCTCGTAGTACCTTTTCGCTTTTTCCGAATAACCTTGACGTATCAATTTTCAACCCTTGTAAGGTAAATTTGCGTTCTTTTTCAAACTTAACCGGTTCGTGGTCTTCTTTCATAAGATCTTCAGCAGTTTTGGCTTTCCCAATTACAGAGGGATTAGCGTAGGAGATCTGCCTGATCCAGTTGTCAACATTAAGTTGACAGAAAGTTAGAGCTTTTTGGAGGCGTGCGGACAGGAACATTCGTTTCTCACTTTCAAAACCAAGCTGCGTTCGACGTATTTTGATGGCGCTGTTCAGTGGAAGCAGTTGAAGCATCTCCTTGGCGTGGTAGCGAGGGTCAACCTGTTTGCTCGGGCTGGACGGCATTGAACCATACTCCGGAAGTGTACACATCACGAGAACCGGTTCAGTCACTGCTGCCCGTAGTAGAAGGTCGTCTGAAAAGTGAAATAAACATTTGTACGTAAGAATAGCCTGAACTCAATTAACTGACCGCCATTGTTTTTAGACCAGGGCAAGCAGGGATACTTGTAGCCTTTTCAGACCTTATCTACATAGAAAGAATGTTGTGTGGTCTTAAGTAAAAAAAGGAGAAAACAACATTGGAAGACAACTTAAATTTTAAGACAGGTCGAATCACACTTAGTTTTTTTTTTGGTTTAAAATTCCAGATTTTATGACTCAATAGCACTATTAAAACCAATCGCTAAAACCCAAGGCGTTTGACCAGTGCATCCTACCCGTGATTTTATGGAGTATGGCTCCGTATGTAGCCGCGATGTAGAGACTCACCGTTGGACTGGTCAACAAGTTTAGTCACTCGGCGTGCGATGCTGGGTATTTCTCAAGTCAATAAAATTTGAAACGAAACTCTTTGACAGAGAACTAGATTAGCCGTCATCCCACAGAGAATTAGTGCGCTGAAGTGGAAGTGGACCGGTCATGTCTCCAGGCGGACTGATGATCGCTGGAGCCGATATGTGCTAGGGTTAAGTCCACGATTAGACAAACGTAGTGTAGGGCGCTCTGCCCTGCGGCACGATGGACCGACGACTTGAAGAAAATGGCTAGCGGCGGATGGACGCGGATTGCCCAAGACCGGGATGATTGGCGCTCCTTGGGGAGGCCTTCGTTCAGCAGTTGACGGCAATAGGCTGATGATGAATATTAAAAGCAATAGGGTCTGACAAACGTATTAGGTAAATTTCAACTGACCTCCAACATCATGTGCCATCTCAATGGGCACAGTCCCGGCGAGCAGTCTCACGCGCGTCGGCAACCGCCATATACTCAGCAGATGTGGCAGTCGATGAGCGCGTGCAGCGACCTCTGGGGGCGGCGGCGTGGGCCCACGCCCTTCGCCTGCTGGCTCCCACTCCGCTGGTGACAGCTCCTCCGGGCATACCTCATATAGTTCCCCTTTTGTGTTGATAGGCACGAAGAGCTCCTGCAACGACATATATCCCTGGTATATTTAAAAGAATAACACTTATTTTGAACTATATTGGTGGACAAACGGTAACTTTAACGATTTTACAAACAGTTTGATAGCTTTACAACTTAAATGTTTACTAAGGCCATGTAAAATATATGTATAAAGTAATCGTTGCTAATTAAAGCATGCCAATGAAAAAACAATTATCATAGAGTAACACTAAATTAAAGTTTAAAGTGCAGTCAAAATGACACATTTGTTTTTTTTTTAATGCCATAAATTCAGGTTTTCTAATTACCGTGCCTCTTAACCTGATAAATGAATGTGATTATAATGATATCTATAAAATAAATGTATTCCAACAAGGTGCTACGTCATCAACCTCAGAGCCGACAAAGACGTTATCTTTAAATAGATTCACTGCTTTCATGACATTCACAAAGAAAGTGTATAGCGCATCGTGAGGTGTCTTAACCATGGTACGTATTATTGTCACTAAGGATCCACCATTAATATTCTACGCTGTCTTTTGAGATGTTTATAAAGGCTGAGAAGGAAACGACACGATACCGCGACGTTTTATGTTTATTTAACGGCATCCACGAGAATATTTTTTATAATCACATATTTCCATACCCAAGCATAGCAAGCATATTTAGTAAATAATACAATGTAACTATTCGCTAATAGTTAATTAATATTCTTCTACACTTAGTAGGTATTCTCCACTGTATACCAAAGTTATGAAATAAAACTATTTATCTTGTGCAGTAATTATATGCCAGCAACACTTAAAAGGGCCAGAATACAAAACCAACACCAATAACAATTTAACATTATTTTAGTCTAGCAACATCGGTGATTGTAAAAGACCAACCACAATGGCCTTTTATTCTTCGCTATTCGTTTTAATGTATTCTGTGTCACGCAAAACTATATTGTTTAAGCTTTGCCACATACCAAAGCGGCAAGCCTCAGGAATATCTTGAATTACACCTAATAGGACATATCCTTGCCTTTGTTGTCTGATGTTAAGTTTCAAATTGATTGATAAAGTGATTTAATTTTTTATTGAGAAGAAGAAATAGATGAAGTCTAAATTACTTTGTGTAGGCGGAAGGGCTGTATAAGATGATATGTATATGATATAATAAGTCTGTTTTGTGAATATAAAGCCATTGAACTACGTACAGAAAAGTCCTGACCAGTCCAAGTACGGTTAAAACAAATTTCTGTCTGTTTTAGTTATAATGTCATCGAGGGCTGCATTAAAACATTATTTACTTATATAGATTTATTGGCAAGATTTTTTCTAGAACCTAATATTTATTTAAACGAGAATTTATGTTTATTTGCCATTTGTTTAGTAACATTAAAATGCGCCATCTAGCGATGTATGTCTAAACTAATTAAGAACTGTTGAAATTCAATGTAAAAACAAAGTACTTTATTTGACTCAAAGCAAAGTAAACAAAGTATTTAATAAAATATTCTAAAAGAGAATGACAAGTTAAGTATATTTTGTTCTTGAAGTAAAACTTCTTCTCGCACGTTTGACTTGGGGAGTAAGCTGGTGAATGCGTGACGAGAGCGTTATCAAAAATGTGATCAGGCGAGACGAACGGAAGTTGAGAGGCAGATATAAGTTAGTGAAGATAGAAAAAGAGAGAGTTACATTTCGTATATTACTGTAGGGGCAAGAGAGAGAGGTGCGAGCACACATTTTCTTTATTTTTTCTCTCATAGCCAAGAAGTTTTACTTTAGTCGTGTAGTCGTGCACACTCGTTTTTTTATTTATTTGACGTTTTAATTTATAAGTTAGTGTAATACCCAAAATTATAATCATTCGACATTGTTAAGTCGTTATACCTACTAGTTTAAATTACCAATATTGATTACTAATTAGCGCCACCCTTAATGTAATTATATAAATATAATCTATAAATTTTTGTTGTAAAATATATGAATATTAAAAAGAACTATTAAAAAATAAAACTATATCATCAAGGAAAATGGCTTATAGTTTACTCTACTCGCTCGTAGAGGGCAGCACTTACTTAATTGTACACAAGTGTTTTTCATTCACTCGCTAATTACAAAGCTGAGTTTTATAATAATGTTCTCAAAACTATACTTAAGAGTTGCATCAAAAATAACACCTTATAACTAAATGTAGGATGGCTTACATTTCATTATTTTAAAACCTGTTTGAAAACAACCTAAATAAAAAGTAGGGCTTAGAACAATGGCGCAATTTTCATGTATCTAGATTTAAATACAGGTTTATTACCTAATCGATCTTAGCCGAACATGAGGTGCGGTGTCTATTGTGTTTAAAAAAAAGTCTATGCTTTGCAGATGAATGCGATCTCTTTAATGGGTTCCGTCACTTTTTATTAATGTAAGTTTTTATCATAATAAGTTTAAAACTTATTTTGATAAAAACTTACATTAATGAAAAGTGAAATATTTTATTTTAAAGACTGATAATAAATATTATGTTACTTAATAGACATTTTTAAAAGAATAGTTTTTTTAACAATATTTTGGAGGTTATGTTTTAAATAGTTTCTAAAATGAAATACCTATTTAAATTTTTCATATAAACTCTAAAAACTTGGTAATTGACCATTATAATCGACCGAAAATAAAGAGAAAACGTTGACAGAAGAAAAAAGTAGTAAACTCTATTGTCATAACTTGTTTATATTAACTGGCGTTTTAAGGCATTTTGACGCCATACATTTATTTAAAAAAATAACAAAAATATTTATCGACACCACTAACAAAAAAATGTCTCTTTACTGTTTTGTTTTATCAATTTAAGATAAAAGATTATGATTTCATCACCCTTATCATCGACAGCCTCTAATAGTCCACTGCTGGACATAGGTCTCTCCTTAGAAAGGAGGTTTTGGCCTACTATACCACGCTATTAAGTTTTGTTGTTCGACGTAGTTTGCTCCCTTAGTCGGCTCTTACGACACCCGCGGGATAAATAGGTGTGGTGACATACCGTATTCTTAGTCCGTCACCACTCTGAATACACCCTCGTTCAGTAGAAAAGAGGTTCATAACACAGCAAAAAGAGACGAACAGAACCCTAAAGTGCACATGTCCTAACGTTCATTTGTTTCTTTTTATTTGCTTAGATCTGTCACAACAACGCCGTGATTAATCTTTAACTGGTTCTTTAAATGAGCAATGTTATTAACAAAACAGGTACTATGTGTTAAGTATCGCCAAGTGTACTGTAACGCACTTCAAGTTGTTACTTATGAAATGAATAAGTTCTTTATGCAGTTGTCAAGTTTAAACTAATAATTACTAGCTTTGTAATAAGTTAGTACAGTTCGCTAAATGTATACAAATTTATCAAAATATTGGTAGTCTATAAGGATTTTATTTCTTTTTAGATCACAGACGTTTCTGGCTGTGTGAGCTATAATGTGAACATTTTACTAAACCAGAGAGTAATTTTAAGTATTTTTAGAATTTTCTTCCCAATTTCTCTTACTTACAGCAATATACTCCTATAATTTATTGTTTATTAATCACCTCTTAGAAAAAATTCGTCGACCATCTTGGATGTGAATTATGCCAAACACCGTTAGGGGTGACATTTTTTCTTCATGCGCGAGTCCGAATCGCACTTGGCCGGTGTTTTTCCTCCTCCTGCTCCACTGGTTACGAACCAACGGCTTAGATGGCGGCCGAAGGAAAAAATACAACCGAAATGAGAAAATTTTCGTTCTTTGATTGACTAAAAATTCGGTTAATTTGTGCCTTAACCGTTTAAATGTGTTCCATCCTTGTCAAGGGGAGTGCTAACCGTCTCTCCTTTCAATAGACACAATCATAATTTTGTTAAATTATTTTACAAGCCAAGATTACATGTAATCTCTACAAGTGCGATGTAGGTTTTATGATAATATTTCTAAATTTGTTAGAAATATTATTAAAATAATGGTCATTTATGATAAAGCGTAATAAAATACAATTATTTAATTCATTTAAAACACTTATTCTAAAACAGAACGTGGTATTTTAAGTCATTTATATGGCATTGAATATGCGGTTGGTTTGGCTACGCCATCTATTGGCAGTAGGGCAAAGATGTAGTAACTAGTCGATGTTTGTGAGTGAAAACGAAATTGTAATATCAGTTATGTATTATCACGGTTTTAACTATAAAGAACATATAACTTATGTGTGATAATGAGTGAAACCTGTATCGCCGTTTAAAGCAATAGGTTGGCAGTCAGACACTTAAATTGTGAGAAGAAAAATGCGCATTATCCAAGACAGTAAATAATTCTAGCGGCCACTGTATTTAATTAAAATTATACTGACGGACGCATGTCAAGAATACGTTGACGGGTGGTAATAAGGAGCACCTGCCTCGTATACCGTCTGTCATGAAACACAAGCGTTGTAGGTGATAATTAATGATAATATATCACGACGTGGTTAATTTATGTGTTTATCTCCGAGAGTCAATTTTAATGTATTTTTGCTATGTAATGTGCTAACCGTGTGGTGACGTGGCTTAAGAATACGGAGTGTCACCTGTCACATGGGTGCCTTAGGAGCCAACTAAGGGAGCAAACTACGAGCGAACAACAGCACTGCAAAGAGAATGAAAACTTGAAACAAAGCCTATACAACCAGTCTGGAGAGCGTGGTATTGTATGCCATAACCACCTTTCTATGAAGAGGCCTACGAGTATGTCCAGCGGTGGACTACTAAAGGCTATTGATGATGCTATATTCATCTATAAGAGTGTTTAAGATTGTATAGATAGGGCGGTGGAAGTAGCTATGCCTCCGCTAACCCCATTAATTCTGAATCGTGTTGCTCCTTCCTAACATACAACCAATAGTTTTAAGCTTACAATTAAGTTATAGTTAAGTTCAAACATTTCTTCCCCTATGAATTATACTTTGCCGGTGTTTTTCAATATTTAGAATATTAGTTTTATTAGAATTTTTTTTTTCGTTATTTATTTCTCAAAATCCCTCTATAGAGTTAAGCTTTGGCGACTTGTATCCTAACCGATCGTAGTGATAAACCTATTTTAGATTAATTAAGCGATACTTACCATATAATAGTCCCCTTGGAGATTTAAAGTAAATTAGACATAAATAGATTTTAAAATTAAATTAATATTGTGATTGCCTTTTGTACATTATTACGTCATTTTCAAAGGAATTCAGTGTTCATAACACTAATCTTTATTACTTTTATTTTATTATTAAATTTAAAAAAATATTAAATTATTTCATTATAAATTATTTTATTATTAAATTAAAAATTAAAATGTGTTCAGTATAAATTAATTTAAAGCTAAATGGAATATCACCACATGAGGACACTAAATGAACCTTCACGATTCCTCTGACTCTAAAGGAGGTGGCAAATTGTTTATCTGTGTACTAAACTTCCTGCGGTATTCAGGCCCTCTTTCGTTTGTAGGCCCATTGCTGGTCAAATAACGCCAAACAGGACCATACATAGTCTCCTTGCTCAACCTCCGATGTGTTTTGTTGCTCGAAGAAGCCGTTAGCCATGATATAAGAACGTTTCTGCCGTACTCTTCCAAATCTAAGAGCCCGCAGTGGCTTATTATGGTACCATCAACTCTTGTCACCATAAGATGTGGCAATGATGATATACCATACATGAATATCAGTAAAGGGATTAATTTATCATTAAATTTAAGAGTGAACCAATTGGCTTGTTCTTCGTAAGACTGTTTGAAATCGTCTTCTGTTTCGTCCACTGGAATATAGATTACTTCTATTGGTAGATTTACAAGCTTAGCGTTTTCATACGTTTCGTAAAATTTAGATATCATGCCTTTGAAATCTATACCTTTAGCTGTGAAGAAAGCTATGATAATATCAGAGTTGTTCACAAACCATTCGTACGGAACCTGAAAGAATTGCTTATTGTAAACGTTTGCATCTTGCAACCAGTTGTAGGGTGAGGTGGCTTCGTTTAAAATTTTCAATTTGTGTATGATTTCCTTGCCGGGGGAAGATTCCTCGTCTTGATCATTAGACATTGTGTGGGATTTCTTTACAATATCCAAGTCTTTGTTTTGTGTAATAAAATTAAAAAAATATTGTGGAGGTCTAACAATCAAATGTAGATTCAAATCTCTTGGTTACTTATTTACAAATATTCATACAGCTAGTGACAGCAAGTGACTGACATTAGTCAATAATGTTTTTTTTTTGGTGTAGGTTAAGGTTTTATTTATAAGATGTTTACTCCTAATGTGTTTTATAGTAAATAGTTACGTACAATCATTTTTTCAGAATACTTTACTTTACTCACTTTATACCTACTGAATCACAAATGTTATAGAATATATATTTTTCATTTTGAAAAGCAATGGAATGAATAAAGATGAGTCAATATGCTATTCCAGACTATAACCTATCTCTGTGTCAAATTTCATCCAGATCCGTTCAGCCATTGTGTCAAGAAATATGTTAATCATCTAGGTTAATAGTACACCTTATTAAAGAGCTGCAGAGAAATTTCAATTTAATTCCAAAGAAATAAGATTTACTATGCAATACTTGTGCAAAAATTTAATAGTTTCCTTTATAACGGGTCTCCAATGTGACACTGGTCTTGTATATGTGTCTGCCTTCCTTTTTCGGTTCAAAGTTGAGCGACACAATGGCACCGGCATAGACACCACATTAAAAATGCATTGACCATAATTATAAATGATAGTTATTCCCTTGACATTGAGTTAGAAATCGCTTGAGCGTTATAAAAACCAACTGCATGAATAATTATGTCGAACAGGATTTAAATGTGGCAATTCTTTTACGTACTGATAATTTTCTTTTAGCACTTATTTCGAGGCATTACAATTCAAATTTGACTGTATAAACGATTTTAGCTTGCAAATTTAAATGTGTAAATTCAGAACGTTCGACACATTCGGAATACAAAATAAACTATGCGAGTCGATGCGCTGTAATCAGACGTGACTATAAAACTGTGATGGAATACCAATGAACAAAAAGAACTGTCTATTGTAAAACAAATTCTAAAACTATAGATTCTAAGTTGGAAATCCAATAAACATTTGTCAATAGACCAGTGAAGAGTGTGTTTAAAAATCTAGTTTTAAATTTCGAACTTTTATATCAACTTTAATAACAGATTATGTTTTTCAATTAGGAACATTTTGATCATGAGACTAAATATATGTTCGCTTAAATCCTTGGATTTCCCATCCACATTGACATACAGGTATGCGACTTGACATGCTCGAGCTATTGCATTACTTATATTTCCCAATCTATAAATTTATAAATACTCCCCTTCTTACCAACTTTTCCTTTTCAATACTCTCAAGTTTCTAATTTTAATTTCTAAGGTAAGATCAAATAATTATTGCCAAATTAATGTCAGAGCCGTATTAAGCAATTACATTTGACAACTATAATTTTATCTCCTACTAAGGTATTGAGGTCTATCACTGTCAACTAGGGACTTTAGGGATGGGAAATGGGAAAATTGGGAGTATATTGAAAGGAACGGGATATTGCATATATGATTGGTTTGGGCAATATAAGTATAATTTTGAGCAGCTCTGGAGGAGCTTTAGCTCGAATTGGCTATTGCCGAAAACGGTTCCGACAACGATCCTATTGCAGGTGCTACACTCACTGCTGACCATTTCTAGGATGTATTGACTAGACTGGATTATTATATAGGAAATTAAATCGAATTATAATGCTCTTTTAGACGAAAAAGCAAAGGAAACTTTAAAACAAAAATGGGAAAATCTGGAATGGGTGCTAAGTACGAAGGCCAGTTTTCCTTACTGGATTTCGTTTTCAGCTTATCTTTTTTGACTTTTGTAGTACTTAGTCTCTTTATAGAATGCGTGAGTACATTGAATTTAAGTCATACTAAACTGGAGGCGAATGATGAACATCAGTTGGATGATTTAAAGAACCAATGAGGAGGACCTGCTAATGGTGAGCAAAGAGAGGCAATTGTTGAATGCCATTGAATACAGAAGAGGCAAAATGGTTGGCTACCTGATAAGATACGACAACTTCTTCAGATTACTGGAAGGAAAAATAGAAAGCAAGAGAACAGAAGGAAAACGAGGACGGCTTATATCAACACAGATACAGCAGGTGAAGGAGAAAGTGGGAGTCGTGGTCTATCAGGAGTTCAAACAGATCGCAGGAAATAGATAGGAGTGGCGATTGCTTTAGCGACAAGGGCTTGGGTCTTAAATTAAGGAAGAGAGATAAGTTATTAAAACGTCACAAGTGTAAAGTATGTTGATTACATTTAGCTGATTCTCGAAGTAAACCCTCGATATATTCAATTTCTAACATTTTAAAACCGCAATACTACAAAATTATTATTTGCTGAGAAAAAGCGTCATTGCAAACGAAAGTACGTCATTGTGTGTCAAAACCATGGGAAAGCAGTAAATTATAGCTGTTTGGTGTTTCCTAAACAATTTACACCGTCATTGAGGTTTGTAGCTCATAACAATGTACCATGTAATGTACGGATTGTTTATTTATTATTAGGTCAAATATGAAGCCAATTTTTTGACCCTTCGATGTTTTTAAAGGTCGTGAATCTAAATTTATGACGTCAACCGCAGTAGCCGTGTAAAATATTTTGAAAAAATAATAAAGAATATGATACTAAAAAAATTTGCTGAAGATACTAATCGTACAGATAATAAGATTCAGTTATGCTCAATGGCCTTGTTAAATGTTTGACAGTATTGTCAAACATTTATGTCGTACCGTACGTTCTGTACATATTTGGATGAAATAATTACTTATGATTTCATAGCTAATTATTGTTAAATGTTTTACGTTTTAATATTTTGTTTAGTAATTAAAAATAATAAGAATATGTGTGTGTAATTGTGTACATAAGGTCGATTTCATTACTTGCGTATTTCCTTTCGTTTACGATTCTAGAAGCCCCTTCTTGGACTGCGCCTGAATACGGCTATTTTATGTATCTTGTATTAAACTATTTATTATTATATACTCCAATTTATATACTCCAATTGACCTTTCAAACCTTATCAAAGTGTTATCAGTCTAAAAGTAAGTTTGTGTACAATATTACTTAACAGCTGCGTCTGTCCCGACTTATGTATTTAGTATGCACATTGCGAATGCAAATATTGCCAGAACAACAGTCGTTCTCAGTAATATACTACACATAACCTGTTTCCCATGGGAAGGATAATTAATTTTATGGTGATGGATTGTTGTGAGAATTTACTTTAAGTCCTAATTATTATGGCATATTTATTTCTATAGCTCACAGGTATCAATTTAACTGATCGTTGGGAAGAACTACATAGCTTTTGTAGTAAGTAATAGTGTAAATTTATTCTTCCCGTCTGGCCAGTGTGGTATAGTAGACCAAAACCTCCTTTTTAATGAGAGGCTTATGCAGTGCAGTAGACTGTTAAAGGCTGTTGATGTGATAAGTCCCAACTATATATATATATATACATTTATAGGGTGAAATAGAGGACTTGCTTATAGGTTTACAATCGTATTTTACTACACAGAAAAATTATTAAATAAAAAAAACGCTTAAATAGCGACCTGAATCATAAAGTACAAAGAGTTCCACTATCTATCTCGTGGTTCCATTATCAGATCAGCTTGAAAATTTCAAGTCAAATTATTGTCATCCATCGTACAGAGTTTAATTTTAATACAATAAAGAAGTTAAAACTATAGCTTTCATGTGTGTTTTATTAACTTAATACAAAATCAGTCTAAGATTGTAAGAATAATTGCACCTTAATATGCATGCCAGTATTTTTGACAAATGGTCCATGTTGATTAGCAGTTGACTAGCAGCGCCCTCTGGGGGTCAAAATTAATGATCGCTGAGAGACGCAAATGGGAAGAGTAGTAATTAATATATGCAGAAAATAAATTGCTTTCGAGAAATTTAATTTTCTGCAAGACTGGCTTAAAAATAGTTCAACCTTATAACTTTAAGTTAAATAAATTTTCGCTTTTTGGTCGACGTTTGCTATAGTGTCGGAAAAAAAGTATTGTTACACATTTTTTCGGTCTCGCTCCCATCCGCCCAGACCGCGTAGCGCGCGATTAGAAACTTCGTTCCAAAAAGTACCACTTCATAAAATCTATAAGTAGTTTTATCCTCAGATCATGGTAACCAAGCCCTTTTTTGTTGTATTCTCAAAAATTAATCCTACTAGACCAAAGTCAAGGTACTGAAGAGTAGATTTTGAGAGACCCTCACTATTGCAAAGTTAAGTATTTCTTCCATTATTTTAGCCGAGAGCCTAGCCGAGTGGGAGAACCGTGATTCGGCATGAACGGCTCGGCTCAATCGGAGTTTCACAGATGCTCTAGGGCGAGTTTATGTCACATCTATTCGATCGTCAGGGTGACTCAGTCAAATGCAGTCGTCAGTTCACTAGAATACCAATCCATACTGATCCATATACTATTATATTTATTTATAATATTATAAATGAGAAAGTGTGTCTGTCTGTTACCTCTTTACGCTTAAGCCACTGAACCTTTTGATGAAATTTGGTATGGAGATAGTTTGATTCTTGAAGAAGGGCATAGGATACTATTTACCGCGATAAGTGACATAGGTGCGGGCGGAGCCGAGGGCATAAAGTCGTTTCTAATAAAACACTGTTTGCATTGTTGCTGTTGAAACCATGTTTGCATTTATATCTCAAGAGGACTTATGTAATTAAGACAGCACGGCGCATACTTTTTTTAGACATAAATTAATAAAATACATTTAAGAAGCTACGTGTCTCCAATACCAATCTACTTTAACGTAGTTTTAGGGCACTTATACATACTATATGGGCTCATAACGCGTCCCTATAAAACGTCCCTATAATAATTAAATTTCTCATCATACGCATAAACAAAAGCGGCGTAAACGTCATTTTTCGCGGAAGCGCTGTTAGGGCTGCCATAATTAGAGAGAGCGTAATTTGAAAGCTCTATTTGTAGGAAGCCAATTAATAGGTAG